AAAAAAAAATTTTTTTTTATAGTATTAAAATCCCAAGTCTACAATTTCTTTTCTTTTATTTACAAACAAGATCAATTCTTCCATTTCATTAATATCATAATTTGCATATAATCGTAACATTCCTTCGCTTTTCTTAGCCATTTCCCAATGATAAGCGGCATATTCCAACCCAGTAACTTTTAATATGTAATCCTTAGATCCCAGCAATAAAAATACATCCCAATTCTCTTCATTAATAAATTCAATCATTTTCTTTACGACCAATTTTTTCAAATTTCCCAACAACATCATATCAGATCGTTTAAAAAGTTCACAAAGAGTCTCAAAATTATCTAAATTTAATAATTTTCCCGTATAAACGAAATAAAGGATGGCCCTAAACGTTTCATAACTCGTTTCTTTAATCGGTATAACGTCCATATCTTGTTCTTTCCATCCACCATTTAACATATTCTTAAAGTATTCCGAATTAAACGCAAGTATAACACGATGTGCCCTAATCCTTGATCCACATTCGAACGTAAATTCTATATCCGAGAAGGAATCATTTTCAAAGTATTCCATCGGTTTATTGATATCTAGTAAACCTTCTTCTTTTGTAATTTCATAATTATCATTAAAAAATGTAATTTGAACAAATAAATCTACATCTTGAGATTTGTTACCATCTGGAAATATTGAATTTAATTCAACAAACCTTCTATGACCCCATCCACTGCTAATATTATTAAAGACGAAATAATTCGTGGATATGGAAGTATTCTTAATAAGTATTTTCTTATTTTCATTTATTAACGTCCTGCCAATAATTACTATATATTTTTGATTTCTACCATTAACTTCGTTTAACTTCTCATATGGTGTTTGTATGGCCTTTAGGAATAATGAGATGTGATTTATGGATTCTATCGAATTGTCACCATTTGGAAATAATCGCAATTGCCATAATGTTGGATTCTTGGTTTCGTTTTCATTTTGATACTTTTCCAAAGGGAACTTTGGTATCCAAAATTTTTGACTGTAAATGGAATTTCCATGTGATATATTCCTTACGTACTCTTGAAAACTTCCGATTTCCCAGGTAAAGGTGTTCGCTATCCTATTCATTTTTTTTTTTAAAAAAAAAAAAAAAAAAATCGACAATAGATAACAAAAAGTGTTTGCAAATCGAGAATTTCCTGCAACCACCCGATTATTTTTAATACGTTACACGATTTGAAATTCAATAAATAAAATTCTACCCAATGACAATTACCTAAACGATAAATATTAAAAGTTTTTGTGTTATAAGAAAACTTTTTTTTTTATAAAAAAGAAACAATTTAAATTCAATGAGAAAAATTCATGTGAAAAATACTGAAATAAAAAAAAGAATGTTTACTCGTGTCAATTTTTTATAGTGCTGGCCTGGTAAAAAAAACAATCGATTAATCGGCGGTCATATGGTTTTATTTTTATTGCCCGACCAAAGGTGGGTTTTCTATAAAGACGGATCTACAATCATGTTACCCAATTTTTTTTACATAAGCGCGTCCATGTGATTGATGTGATCAAAACTTTTTTTTTTCCTTAAAACAAAAAAAAAATGTCCGTGAAATATTTAACAAATCGAACATTATTTCAGAAATTTTCTACAAATTTGAATAAAAGGTTTCTAGCAACAGTATCCACTACATCAAAATTGGAAGATATTTATGACATTGTAATAGTCGGAGGAGGTATAGCAGGAAGTGCGTTAGCATGTGCTTTGGCAACTTCAAACTTAACTAAATTGCAAAAACGTATTGCATTAATCGAATCTAGTAACACATCAAACATAAGAGAATGGAACCCTCTACAAGGAGAATTTTCAAATCGAGTTAGTTCTTTAACACCACGTTCCGTTCAATTTTTCAAAGGTATCTATCATGAACAAATTTTTCCAAAAAAAAAAAGGATTAGATAATAATTTGAATGCTCGATCATTTAGATATAGGGGTTTGGCAAAATATTAATGAAGAACGAATAAAACCATTTAGTGATATGCAAGTCTGGGATGGAATAAGCGATGCAAGGATTCGATATAATAACGAAAGTGATAAAAAAGGACCGTTAGCATGGATATTGGAAAACTATAATATTCAACATGCAATTCTTAAAACGTTTGATAAAGATAAAAGTATCGTTGATATTCTTGATAATACAAAAGTACAGGATATAACTTTTGATAAAGAAAGTGGAGGTGAACAATTCGATCTTTCTGATTGGCCTAGCGTTGAATTAAGTGATGGAAGAAAATTAAAGGCTAGATTGTTGGTAATACAGAATTATTCGTCATTGTGATTGTTATTTTTGAAAAAGATCATTAAATTAATTTAACAATTCAAAATCTAGGTTGGAGCTGATGGATTTAATTCACCTGTACGATCCTTTGCCAACATCGAATCGCTTGGTTGGGATTATAATTCACATGCAGTTGTTGCTACCTTACATGTTGATCCAAATATTGAAAATAAGACTGCATGGCAAAGATTTTTACCAACTGGACCAATTGCAATGCTACCGGTTAGAAAAAAAAGATCATCTCCTCTTTTTTATATCATATATACTTATGTTAACATTTCTTTCCTCAAAAAAAAAAAAAAAAAAAAAAAAAAAAAACCGTATAGCTCCAAAACGGATATTCTTCAATGGTATGGTCAACGACACCCAATCTTGCAACAAAAATCAAATCAATATCATCAAAAGATTTCGCGTGCTTAGTTAATGCAGCATTTCAAATGCGTGTAGCAGATTTAGAATACTTTTATTCACAATTAGGAAATAATGAATCGGTGGACCTTCAAAGCGAATTCGAATGGAGAAAAAGTGTCCAATTAAAAAATTCCGATCCCAAAGAAGAATTTCCTCCTTTAGTTTTAGGAGTACAAGAAAAAAGTCGTGCTGGATTTCCATTAAGAATGAGGAATGCCGAAAGTTATATTAAAGAAAGAGTTGTATTAGTTGGGTTAGTTGCTAAATTGATGTTTTGATGGGAGATATATATTTAATTTAATGGGAACATTTTTTTTTTAAAAAAAAAAGGGATGCGGCTCATACAATACATCCGTTAGCTGGACAAGGATTAAATCAAGGGCTGGCAGATGTGCACCATTTATTACAAGTCATTGAACGAGGAATCGCGAATGGACAAGACATAGGTAAATTATATTATATGTGTATATATATTATTTTTTTTTAAAAAAAAAAAAATTTTAACAAATTTGATTCATTACAGGAGACATAAATTTGTTAAGAGGATATTCGTCAGAGAGATATTTATCGAATCTTGTGATGCTTGGAGTCGTAGACAAATTACATAAATTATTTGGTACAGATTTTACTCCTACTGTATTAGCTAGATCTTTGGGCTTAAAAACTTTAAATAATTTGGAACCTGTAAAGGTAAATTGTAGTTGATTTATTTATATTAGCATATAATCTATATGATGTTTCTTATTTATTTTGTTATTTATTAGGCGGAGATCATGAAATATGCTATGGGATTGTAACGAGCTTTATTAATAAATTTAATGAGCGACCCTCAATTCAACAAAATATTTTATAAATTTTTATTAATTAATAGGAAAAATTACCCATGACATTGGGATATTTCTTCTTTT